AAAAAAAAAAAAAAAAAAAAAAAAAAAAATTGTTCTTCCTATTCATGTTTGGATTTTCATGAGCATATCTGCTATTTTCTTTTCTTGTCACTAAACAGCTGTTTTTGCATTATCTTGGACACTGAATTTATTTAGCCAAGAGTAAGACACACCAGCTTATCTCATATGTATGTTTGCTCCTGCCTGAACATGCCCTGTAGCTTCATCTGCATTAGGATATTTTGTACCTATTTCCAACCCCTATTTCAGTCTATAATACCGCCTACTCTATTGTTAGCATTGACCTAACTGAACTCATCTAAAAACAGTATAGCCGTAGTCTTGGCATCTAGGTTTCTGTGCAAGAACTTGCATATACACTTACCTTGATACAAAAATTGGACAGAAATACAAAGGACTTAAACAAAATTGAAACAAGACATTTTTATTTTAAAATAGGAGGATCCATATACACATATGAATTAAAATGAGAAATGCTGCAGACTAAATCCAATTGGCTTACTTCAGGAAAAGTGTAAATGCCTTCTCTTAAGTATATAAGGCAATATTTCAAATAGTACCATTGCATGTCATATTTCAGTCAGGCAGAACTTTGCTGAAGTATTGTCCACACTGCTGAACACAGGCATATAAACACATATTTTACTGTGTTCTACATTTCACTGGGCCTTCACTAACCCACACATGTATTTCATTGGTATTTTTAGAGAGTCACCACCTACCAGAAAAAAGGCACATCAGCCAACTAAACTAATACCGTCTGTTGGGTTAGCAGATCATCAATAACAGAAATACTATCTCTGCACAGAAGATGTTACTGCTGAGAAAGCCAGGATCATCTCATGTACAGGAATATTTATATATTTGAAGTCCAATATGTGCAAAGTAATAATTTTGCTTCTGTACTCCATCTCAATATTTAAAAAACAAACAAACACAAAACCCCAACATTGTTCCTCACATAAAAAGATATATAACAGTCTCTCAACTAGTTGGAAGACACTGAGGTACATTTTCATCATTGTTAATTCTTAACTGCTCTTACTACGTGGTTGCATCATTCTGTATACTTGCTGGATTTCATATTAAATAGTAGTAGAAATTCTAGTCTAAAAGTATATGAAATCTGAGACCCTTACTCACTCAACTCAGCTCCCTTTCTTGTAGACATGGACCCTCTGGGAATAAAGTTAAAAGAGAATTGATAATACTTCCTTTTATTCTGAGTCTGACTTCATACTGCTATGGCAGACAGGAGATCTCTTCTTGGAAGCTGAATCTAGTCTAATTATATCAATTGGCTGTGACACAAAAGTTTGTCAGGCCTCACCTGACACTACATGTCATCATGATTCATGTAAATGAAGTATCATGATACTTAAAAGTTAAAGACACTACTTTGCTAAGGTTACTAAGGTTCACAACTCTTTTTCCAAAACAGCTTTTGCCTTGTTGGGAAAACCACATAATGCATCAAATTTCAATCTCTGTAGTTTCTAATCCCTGCCTTCTCCTTACCCCAGGAGGTTTGTATTCAGCATATCATCAGGCAAGCATTTCCAGTAGGTGAAAGAACTGCAATATATAGCTTATTTACAATCCCCGAGGAGCTACCAGTGACTGAGAACCAATAAATAATTTACATTTAAAGCTTATGCTCAGTCAAATTACCCTGAGTGTGTTGATTTATGCAGTGTACTGGAAGTCAATATCTTGTTTTTGAGCTATATGCAATAACTATATTAAATATTATTAATTAGTTGATTTGTTCTCTTTAATAATGTACTAAACCCATATGCTAGCATAAGCGACAACATTTAAAGCTAATTTTGGCCAAAATAATCAATTCAGGTTTTTTAGAGAGCTTGCATATTCATATGCTCTTGAAAAAAAAACTGGACAAAAATCTGTTTCTGATCAAGAATACGTAACTTGCAGAAATAAGGTCAGGTCATTCCAACACAGACTTGAAAGTCCCCCTTTGTTTTCAAGTTCCAGCTCTGCAAACCTCAGTGAGGCTGCAGATCACATTACAGCATTTCATAAGGACTGTTAATCAGAGAAAATTTGGAATTTTCATGTTTTACAAGCATTGAACTGAAGTTCTGCTCTCCTTGAGGTCAGCTGGTTTAATAGAACAACACTCTTAAAGGAAAGCTATCAATGTCAAATGACTTAACCCTGTGACATATCTCTTTGCACTGCTTCAAATACTGAATTAAATGATATACTGTAGTTTAATTGGTTTTAGCCTGTATTTGTACAACAGTTGGTCAGATTGAAGGATCATTTTATTTGTTAGAAAATGTGTTAGTTTCAATGGATCCAAAATTAGATGTGTATGTTTAAAGCCTGAGGCCCCTTCCAGCCCTAAACTTCTGTGAATTCATTACAGATCAGAGGCCAAAATGATCTCTTTATGTGTGCATATATTTTGTTTGGGTAAGTGAGGAATCTATTTTTGCAAATTTTGTTGTGAAGCTCTGTTTTATTTTTTTATTCCATATTACATTCCCATGCACGTACAAGGCATTTTAACAAACAATCAGAGGATCCTTGCTCTGAAGACTTTATAATCCACAGCAGGTAGGAAAAGACAAACAAAGAATAAGATGGAAGGACAACAATAACATGATGCAGTCATTTGAGAAAACTCAGCAGTCTTTAGGATTAAATGTCTGAAATTCACTTGGGGACGTGAACTTTGAAAGCAATTTAAAGCAAAAGATGAAGCTGGAAGAACTATCAGCGAGTTCAGAAGGAGTCCTCCAAATGAAGGGGATGGTGAGAAAGAACCAC